GCGATTCAGCCTCCCATAATATCAAACTTCAAAACCACTCACTTCGTGCTCAAAATATCCAATAAGGCATCAAAAACCTCTAAATTCACCCTAGCACCCCGTTGACGAAGGTGGCAAAGCTGGAAAGTTAGCCTAAGAAATTGTAATACCACCTTGTTTGTAGCTATAAAGTGCTGGCCCGGAGAAAGTGCACCATTCTAGGATTTATTGATGGTCAAACACGGATATTGCAGACGATATTCTTCTTCGAAGAAAAGCATGAAACGAAATAAAGTGATCTCGTTCTCAACTGATAAACGATAAGATTTTTTCACAGGTATCTCAACGGTTGGCGGCGCATTCACTCCTGAGATTATTCGCGAGATGGCCAAGAACAATCCACGTCCGATCATTTTTGCTCTTTCAAACCCGACCAGCAAATCGGAGTGCACAGCAGAGGACGCCTACAACTATACTAGTGTCAGTCCCCCTTGTGTCGAGAATTATTACAGCATCTGCTTTGGTCTACTGACCAGTCTCTTTACTAGTTTGTTTGACTATAATTCTGTGGTATAACTTAAAGGAATCTTCCGCGGAAAAAGCTCCGCCTCCATTACCACAGAAAAACGATACCCCTTAGGCCCCTAGCCTCATGAGCATAGCAAAAAGAACGGAACATAAGCGTTAGTTTCGATAATACTAATCCTACACAAGACAAAATGATCACTCTTTCCGTGGAAGATTCCTTTAAGGTATCGTTTTCTGTGGTAATGAGGGCGGAGCTTTTTCCGTGGAAGATTCCTTTAATATTCTGGGTTATTCTAGGGTACGGCGCTGTTTGCGTCCGGTTCTCCTTTCGATGATGTGGAGTTAAACGGGAAGGTATACAAGCCTGGTCAGGGCAACAATTCGTACATATTCCCCGGTGTGGCACTGGGTGCTATACTCTTCAAAGCAAAACACATTCCTGACAAAGCGTTCCTTATTGCAGCTAGGGTGAGTTCAATTTTTTTCTCTTTCATTTTCTTAGCTTGTCGATCTTGCCTCTTTTGTACATTCGTTCAAAAGCATGATGCGCCAACAAAAAAATTGTGCGTAGGCCGTCCAGAAAGTTGGAATAATGTGAGAATATATAAATAACATGAATGCAATCGCAAAATCAGCAGTCCTGAGTGAGCCGCCAAAAAGGTGAGCTCCTTTCACGTAGCCCTCTCGCACCTTCATCCCACCCAATTTGCAGCAATACTTGAATTTCCTGCCTACCCGCCCCTAGTCTAATTTTTTCCTAGGTTGGTCAGTTGTTAAGGCTTTTTCGATATTCAGTGTATTGTAGTTGTCTCATCTATCGATCTACATATCGTTGATGTAACATTGACATGTTTGTATTTGGAGACCTCAGAAAAGGCGCCTATCAGCCGCGACACCCCACATTACGAAAGCCATATAAAGCTGTCTAGAGAGTCCAGGCTAAAATAAAAACCGAAATACAAAATCGCAGCGCTTGGATAGTGGATCATCCTTACGGGGATTATCTTGTATCCTACGCTCATTCATTTGAACCGTTTTTTTTTTTCGAAGTTATCAAAGCACTGGAGATTTATTCGCCTAAATTTGTCGATTTAGCAAAAATTAGGGCAATATTGTGCAACGGGGCTTTTGACTACCGGTGAATGAAAATTCTACAAAAATTCGTGCCAATGAAAATCGCCGTAACAACATGGTTAGCCACATGGGCGCTATTGGAGAAAAAAAAAGACACACCCTTCAACACAAAATTAGTCACTTTTGCTAAAACGCCAAGCGATCTATTGGTGGATTGGGTGTCCCCCAAGAGGCCCATCGCGGCGAAGGAAGAGACGCAGATGCGGCAAAGGACGAGTCGCAGCGCGTGCTGTGCGATATGAGACGTAGTATGGTACACTCTATTTAACCTGACGCCTAACCGCTACAGTATGCGCTGCGACTCGTCCTTTGCCGCGTCTGCGTCTCTTCCTTCGCCGCGCGATGGGCCTCTTGGGGGACACCCGGAAATTGATCATATTCTCTTCTATCGAAAAAATTATATTAGCTCTTTACACCCAAGAGAGAAGAAGAAAAACAGTCTGCTACGGGAAAATGGAGCAGGGTTAAGGTTAAATGAGGTAATAATGAGGAGGTATTATCAAAGATATTATTTTAACCCCTACCCCCAGATAGGTTGTTCCACTTTTCCGGAAGGGGTAGCTGGAGAGCTGGGTTCCTCGATGTGAAAGGGCTGCTTGTGTGTCTGTTTGCGGCCATTCATAAAATTCACACGCTCTCAGGGTTTAGGTTTCTTCTCCCACTAGTAGTTGCTCAGTTACTGATATTTAATTTTATATCGCGTTGAATTCGTGATTCTCTTGAACCTCTGCTCCCAAATGTCGTCGCATGACTTTTCGGAGGAGTTCCCTTATATCCAGGCAGAAAGATGTCTCCCAAGCCCTAAAGCCCAGGAACTGTAGGATACTAAAAATTCTACTCATGGTGTATCTCGCCATGGCGATAATAAATAGCTAATTATCGAATTTATTAACTTAAGTCGCCTGCTGGTGAGTATCCCAATAAAGGTGGATCATTGCCTAACACAGCAGACAGACTTATCTCTCACATATGTGTACAATTTAGTATTATTAAGCGAGTTGCTGCATCGGTAACCGAGAAATCACTGAATGAATTCTCTCGACTTTACCCGAGGCTCGAAGACATCCGCGAACTGTCCGTGATGATTGCGCTCGATGTAAGTATAAATTCTTGTTTCATTGTAATAAGATCGTTGCAAGGTTAGGTTATTTCAGGCGCTATCGCAAGAAACAGAGTCGACAACCCCCAGCGTAAAACAGCCTTTGCTGAAAACCGATCAAGACCTAGGCAGTAGCAGGAGGAACATCCCAGGGGCCTCCCCAGCATCGTTTATTTCCCTCCAAACCTCCTATCTTTGTCTCAAGATGCTGCTTATATCAGCACATCATCCCTGTTCTATACCATGTCACGCATTATTGATACCTCAGAGCACGATCTCGAATGAATCAGTGCGTACCGAATTTCCATCCCCTGATACCTTTGGCACCGGTTTTGAAACACATTTGCCTTGTCGGATAGGAGGAGTCGCGATGAGGACAAAAGGAGAGTGGGAAAGGATAAGGGAGTACCGTCACCACATCTCGCCAAAGGTGATATCGAACTACGAGGTCATTTTCCTCAGCGCGATGTCCAGAGTGAGTGCCCTAAAGGATTGCTCAGCTTTTTTTTTTTGAGCTGAACATAAAGAGCAAAAAGGATGTTTCACGCTTTCCCTACCTGATTTTTCAGAAATCGTTTAGCAAATTTTTTGTTCTGGTTGTGGAATATGCTATACGAAGTTATTACGTAAAAATGGCGCAATAATGAGGAATACATCTGAGTCTGAACGGAACTGGTAATAAGTCTGTCTAATTGTTCTTCGTAAATTCTTCTATTTCAGATTGGTAAACATCTCTATGAGAACAATCTCGCCACGCTTCATCCTGAACCTGAGGACAAGGTCAGCTATTATAGGAAATTCGTGGATAAATTTTAAAATTAGCTATATTTAGGAAATGTTATTCCGTTCAGCAGATCTCTGATTATGAATACGAACCTTCTGCTTAATGAATCGTGCTATGACTGGCCAGAAAAGGATGCTCACCTTGGATACCCTGTGCCGGAACTTCCTCGGATGTCCGATGACGAATGCAAAAGATAGTAGCTTGATAGTTGAAAGGATTTTTTTTCAAATTCCAAATCATATGTTTAGAATCTATTAGTGTATATAGGTTCGAGATCAAAATTGCTATGAAATTGTTTAAAAAATGTGGTTTATAAATGTATCTGCAACATTCCCACCTTTGGAACCAACCGTAAACACCCCAAAAAGATAAGCATATCACTACAATTGTTGGATAAGAAGTCCTGTAATACTTTAAAACAAGCTTATCCATTTCCTATTTCAACTTTATTGGGACAATTCCGTACATTTACTTGTCGTTTACTAGCCTTCTGTAAATTGCTGTGGCTACTGGCGTGAGAAACCTATCGCGCGGGAAGGAGATGCATCAAGGCACGCAGTGCCACTAGTGCCTTGTCTTTGCGATTTTCATGCACGAAATGCAGTGAGGTTATTTCTTCTGCAACAATCTATTCAGACCGACGAACATACTTCAACAGTAGGCCGATGTCAGACTTTGCGAATCGCGCGATTCGCTAGCGTCTGCGGTCGCGTCGCGGCCAGTGAATCACTCAATTGGCTGGTACCGCAACGCGACCGCGGACGCTAGCGAATCGCGCGATTCGCAAAGTCTGACATCGGCCTATATCTGTCTGGT